CATCTTTTATTGTTATTTCATATTTCGAAACGATGAAGTTTGTTCAAGCTGTAAATTGTTTAAACTGTGCAGAATAACTGAGATATTTAATGCACATCTTGGCTGTGTATTATCAAGATTATAGCACAGTAAGAACACAGAGATTTTGTCTTTGTTAATGTCTAATACTGCTCCTTTTGAACATATTTAATGGAAAAAGACAACTTTTTTTCTTCATATCGGTTGTGTGTACACGAAATGCTTATATGATTGTTACTTATATATATCATTCGCAAAAATAATTTCTGAATAATAGTTGTCTAACATTATATTTCCTCCTATCTTTGATATGTATTAGTGTACACTATGTAAAAGTAGTCAAATAAATTTAGATAGAGATTAATGAGTATTGCTACGTTTCTAATCTTTGCTTTGTTTACAAATTCAAATACTTTATTATCATATAAACCATAAATGATTTGCGACATCATTTTAAGTGCTTTGTGGCGATCTGATGAGTCAAACTTTTTTCAACAGATTTGTATAGTTATTTTATTTTCAGAATGATATTGTGCTGTAAGACCACTGTTCTAGGTTCTGCGCTCGCAAATATGTTTAACCCCGCAACGTTCTGTATTTGTCTGTCCCTAATCAGGAATCACCAATTCAGTGGTTGTCGTTTTTTGCTGTATATCATATTTTTTTTTCGTTTCATGTTTTGTACATAAACTAGACCGTTTGTTTTCTCGTTCCTTTCAGATCGGTTTATATATCACGTCCCTTTAATAATTTCCCTTGGCAGTATTCATTTCCAAAAGTTGTCTTTAAAAGCAGAAAATGGAAAATAAGATATATCTAATATAATAAAAGATAGAAACCATAAAATGATGCACTATTGATATGTTTGTTGCATGAACTGGTAAGAAGGTGAACAATTTTTTTACGTTTGAGAGTATAAATTCTATTTTAATGTAGCCTAAACATGGCCTTTTTTTCCTCAAAAAAGACACTTAAACGCTGAAATGGTTCCAGTTTACCAAATATGGACTTATTGCATAAATAGTACAAACTAAACTAGACAGTTTTCAATTTGGTTAGATTTATCTTCAGAAATACCCAAGTGATACATTTAGGGCATTACGCAGCCAAAAAGGCAGATATTTCAGTAAAATATATTTGTCGTGATTAAAAATCTTGTGTTTGCACTTGAATCAATGATTTCGAAAGGTAAAAATAAATAAAAAAGAACTAGAGTTTGGTGCATTTTGTTCAATATAGCTTTATATTAGATTCCTGAAATAAAGCTTTATATCCGTATCCATCATTTTGACTTATCGTTATGACTCAGCAGTTTTCTCAACGCGGTATGGGGCTAGGAGAATAATTTGAATTCTTGGGGATAAGAATCCAATGAACTTACAGAAATCTTTGAAATAGTGCAACATAACTGAAATCTGATCGATATCTATTTCCTTTGCTATCTTCAGTATAGGAAAAGCGGTAGTATGTTTTCCTCCATAGGCGACAATATTAACCTTTTTTAAAAATTGCCATTTTTTATAATAAAAACCAGGACAAAACAGCTAAGTGGAATATATATATATATTTGTACTTTATTTTTCTGTTTAAGAAATTGAAGTCAAATGGTGGCATTACAATCTTCGAAGGGATCTTGTGTATTGTATCAATAGCCACCGTCATTTCGCATTGACTTTATGAAAATTTGAAAGCTTTTTCGAATTATTCTAAAAAAATATTTATATGTGTTTCAAAAAGTATATTGTAAATAATCACACTACAGTTATTCATGAATAAATAAAAAAAATATATTATACTTATTTATCCAATCACAGCGCCCCAAAGTTAACTACCTTCACCTGCCTTGGATACACAAAAGGTCAACCTAATGCCAGGAAAAAGAAGTACTATTTGTTTCAAATAAGAGCAGTACCCATGTGTCTTGCTGTTAAAGTAGATAAATGGAGAATGTGTCCATGGGATACAGATGATACCCCGCATGCATATAACGTTATAAAGGGGCTTAACCCGAGAACGGTAAAAGTGATGCCACCCGAATTCAGACTTGATCTGTCTTTTGTGGTAATTAGCCATGTGTATAAGTTTCATAACATTTGGTTGAGGCAAATTAAAGTTAGAGAACGGAAACCAATTTTGGGACTTACGAACGGACGGACGTACGAACGAAAAATGGTAACACTTAATGCCCCCTCTTGTGACACCGAGGACATAACAAAAATAACATGAATGCAGAAGGACAGAAATCTTTTAATGCGTTAACCATGTTGCAGGTATTCATTTTCCTAAACATGTGTGGTTTGATAATTGATATGGTCATAATTATAAATTAACTGTTTAAAAAACTATGAATTTTTCGAAATGCTAAAGATTCTCTACCCCAGGAAAAGATTACCATAGCTGATTTTGGGAAACTTTTAGGAATTTTGGGTTTTCAATGCTATTCAACTTCTTATTTTATTTGCCCTTTTAACTTATTTTGATTCGAGAGTCACTGATGAGTCTTTGGTAGACGAAACGCGCATCTGGCGTATACAAGTTCGATCCTGGTATCTATGATGAGTTTATTGACAAGTAACTCCATCAGTTGAAATTATTCTGATTCAATTATATTTGTCTCCAACTGTTTTATCAGATTTATTTCTTGAACCTCGTAAAGTTATAATTTTTTTATTCAGTGTCAAATTATGGCCCCAAAATAAACCTTCTGCTTTGTACATTTATGCCAATACTGGCATTTTGTTTCGACATTTTATTTGATTCTGATTCAAGTATATTCGTCACCAACTGTTTTATCAGATTTATATTTTGAACCTCGTAAAGTTATAATTTTCTTATTCAGTGTCAAATTATGGCCCCGAAATAAACCTTCTGCTTTGTACATTTATGCCTATACTGGCATTTTGTTTCAAGATTTTATTTGAAAGCTTTCTTGATGAGTGTTTGGTAGGCGAAACGCGCATAAAAGTTTAATCCTGGTATCTATGATGAGTTAATTGACAAGTAATACATCCGAAAAAGTGATGCATAGCGAATCGAGGCTTTGCAAAATGCAAAACTTACGTTCATGCGAAATACGGTTGATGATATAGTACGAATTAAATTCAGACAATATATACATAAATAATGTAAATAACACATTATAAATTTGGTGTGTCCGAGGCACTTTTTAGGAAGACTCAAAATCAAAACACTGAAAGCTAAGAATGTGTAAACATCTGCTTAAGTGAGATGCCTTATAACAAAAAGGGACATAAACAGTATAGCTAATGTATTTAAGTTCAACTTCGTCTGAGGGAGTTGGAACCTTAATTGTTAAGGCCGGCTATGTAACTTAATAGATGTGGTATATGATTGTCAATGAGACAACTGTCCACTGTAGACTACATGACAAGGATGAAAGCAACATGTATATACTATAGTTTCTTCTTCTTTAGGAACATTCACATATGAACAATATATGACAGAGATTGGTTTTTAGACGGGGCATTTGTTTAAATCATTTCGCTAGTTTAAACAACTGTGAACAGAAGGAAGGCAAGCAATGACATAAATTCGAACGTAGTTATGTCTAAAACATGGTTCTTTGTTGTTCGATTCTTTTATTTGACATTTAATTGCCAAATTACTTTTTAAAAAAAATTGTGTTAGTTAAAATCGTTGCCAACACTTAATTGGTAATAGGAATTAGAATAAATTTGGTAATAATACATCCTTGCTTTCAAATATTTGGGTTTGAACGTTCCTGATGAAGGTTTATCCTAAACAGCGCTTCGGATGCATCACATTCATAAAGTATTATTTTCGTTTTATAAGTGACTTCCTTTTAAAAAATAACCGTGATAAGATTCAGACACATTCAGTATAGATGTACAAAAAGCAGCTTATGAAAAATAAACATTATACATGTTATACTTAAACTTAGTATGGAACATAAGACATAAGACATAAGACATAAGACTTAAGACATTAGACATTTTATTTCACTGAAACCCCCACATGGGGGATGTTAGTACAACATTTTAACAAACAATAAAAGTGTGAACAGATTTACATTAGAACAACATGGTAAACAAAGGTACAATGACAGTAAGTTTCATTTTAACGTATTTGTTGAGTCCCATGTTGAAACACAAGATTTCAATGTTTTGTACGTAAAAATGGCTACTTCGTTTTTTCTATCCCTCTTTAATATGTTTAAGAATTGGGAGACGTATGCACAATATGATGGTTGATGAATTGGTCTCATTCAAATTACTTACAGCTATGGATTATTTTAGTAGAAAAACAAAGGATATGGGGTATCCATCCATGATGACACAAAATCAGTAAATGCACAACAAAATACACACAAAAAACAAAGGAACAGCGATTTTATTGCTGTTCTTCATCTCAAAGTCACAGTGAGACCTCAACACGGAGCAAAAAAACTCTCACCTCACTGCAAGTTTAAGACGGCCGCTAGCACCGGCTGAAGCGGAATTCTTTGCAAAAATAATTTGGATAGACTTTGTAAGATGTAACACCACCCAATCGGGCCCGGTCGAAAAAGAACATACTGGGAAGTAGTACATATTTAAAACAAAATAGTTCATACACACAGGTGTAAATCTTAAACTATGTAGCATATATTTTAGTAATTAAGGTATCAGATGAAAGGTGAAGGACTGGTGATCCTTGTAGAGCACACAATTTACTGATAATTTTGAATAATACAAAAATGTATGATTGAATTCTAAAATTGAGAGCATATATTGCCTGTTTCTCAGATATGAAGTGCCTGGTTTGGTGTATCCAAAATTCCGATAACCAGTGCAGTACGGCCTGATGTATAAATACAGGTATATTGATCCCGCTTCCATAAAATGTTTTGAAGTGAAAAATTTAACGTGGATAGGAATGAGGGCCAAGAATAGGTGGTGTGCGTCTTATTAAAATTTTAGTAAATAAACTGTCCTAGCACGACTTTTGGCTACTGAACAACTTATTTGTGGTCAAAAGCGTAAAATAAAACACAGGTTATAAAGAGTCTTATTTAATTGCTATCATTGGCACCGAGTTTTTCAGTAAATGCAGTTGTCATAATCTGTAAGTAAGTTTTGCATACAAAACAACCCTAAAATATACCCCCTTTTATCCGCAAAAAAAAAAAGCAAGCACTCTGATTTCGTTTATGCATTTAATAACACAAAAAACTCTTGAAATTAATCCAAAGCAGTTTTCCGTGAGAAGTTTAAACCTCTTTACTTGTACATACATTTGGTATAAATGGAAAGGAAAATATATGATGTATCAAGGTATAGTATTTCTTAATCAAATTTTTACGATTTGAAATTAATGTAAAAATATGTATAAACACATATAGATATATAATGTTCCTATAACGTATGCACTATTATTTTAATGACAACCGTTTCTTTCAGTAACGATCTGAAAAGTGCAAAATGTCTCAACTGTTACTGTAAAGCTATCTACAGACTTGTTCTCTATTTCTTCCTCCATTCATCTACTGATGCAATACCTACAGGACATTCAACATCAAAATCTGAAAAAAGCTTTATTATTGGAAAATAAGTATTTTATTGGAGGACTCGGTAATTAATACAGTTGTGACAATCTTGAATGATTGAAAATTGGACATAAACGAGACTCAAAAGTTCATAACACCGAAATCCATAGACATTGAAATGACAATTGCAATCATTGATATCTCTTGGGAAATCGAAAGGATAGGTTTTTTTTCCTCATAGATATAATAAGATGTGGTATGAGTGTCAGTGAGACAAGTCACAATTTGTAAAAGTAAACCATTGTAGGTCAAAGTACTGTCTCATGTATGCAGTTGGTGTTTAAAAAAGAAATAATTGAAAAAAAGAGCCATTGCATATGATATGTGTGTGTCCACAAATACCTTACATAAAATCGTTAAAATGAATTCGATTGACCATACATCTGTAAAGATCAAATTGAAACGGATTGCGTCTGAAATTTCCCAACAATTACTTATCCTAGGAGGTTCTTAAAGATTTACTTCCATTTTCACATTCGTACAATTTTCAACCAAAATTGAAGATAACATTTCAACTACATATGTATATCTCATCTAAGCTACGAATCGCCTCTTCCTCAGTAATATAAATCCACTCTTCAGGGATATTATTTGCATTAGCTCTAAAGAACTGATGTAGTTCATCCTTCCTGTTGCACATAAGCCATTTCCAATATTTACATTCATCAGCTGCTTCGACAGGAAGGATTTCCCAACTATTGAAGGCTTGATCATAATTCGAAAATTGCAGAGGATCGTCTTCATTTGTTAGTTTAAAATATCTATCTGGCGATTTCATAAGGCTATTGCAATTTTCCAACATGATAATATTACTATCGTCGTTTATAGATCCGTAAACAACCAGAGGTCTATGTTGAATACACATATGTTTATTTCTTTGTGTAATATGTTCTATATCGCTATACTGACATGGCTCATGACAAAATGGACAACACTCAGTACAACCCCAAAGACATTCTATTATCTTGTTATACGGGTTGTCTGTCCATTGTACGTTATTACTTGTAGTATTCTTGAAGTTTGTTATGATTTCCCTTTTCATGCTATCTAAATTTGAACTAAACAGGTCAATAAATTCTTTGACAGACACATTACTTAGGGACTGAAAGTCCCCAAGGTCTTTCGACGAAAGTGGCATTGATTTTAAATTTTGCAAAAAACATTTTGCCCAGTCGGATAAATTGTTTATTTCACCTTTTCTATGATTTGTTGATGTTATTGCCAACTTAAGTTCACCAAAGACTTTTTCTACTTCCATTTTAGCAATTTCTGCGTACACATGCAGCTTATTCGGGCTTTTCTTATAAAAAACTATCTTGTCTGTAAATGATACAAGCCAGTTTTTTGCATATTCATTGGGATTAAAAATATATTTCATTATACTGCTGACGTCACTAGAATCAAAATCAATCATCATCTGTTTCAATACAAATGATTTTTGGCATTCAAACGTGAAGACTATTATAAAGTGTTGTATTTTTAAAGGCAATAAGGTTGATACATACCAGGAAACCTTTCTTAAAATTAAACATTTGAATTCTTTTGCAAAACTTGTCATTTTGTCTCTATCAGAAGCTGATCCTATTTCATGCGTTGTACTCATCGGTATCATATGAATATCTAGAATACGATCTTTCTCCCATTGTAAAAGCTTATTGTTTGCATCACTTAATAAAATTTTACTTTTCTTATTTAAACCTGCTATGATACGCTCGTTTGCATGTCCTGTTCTTATAACAGATTTCCTTAATTTCTCGTTTAATTTATCAACTATATTTTGAAATTCAGCCTTAATTTCTGCAATTTTTACAGCAAGTGTTTCTGCGGATTCGCATTTCATAATTTCACATGAAACTGTGCGTAATAGGGTTTCTTGGATCATTTCATACTGATTCCATTGGAATGTTTGTAGCATAGTTCTGGGATGGACTGTGGATGAGGGTTCTTTGGAAAAATCTCGAAAAGACTTTAGCCGAAGAAACGAAGCTGATTTTGATCTCCAACGCCTTTCAGAACCTGTCAAAAAAAACAATACTATATTATGTACATTACACACTCATAAATCTGAACTGTAAATTATATAGCTCTTCATTTTTGTCTGTACTTACAGACCCTTGGCTTTGAAATATATGGCTTTGAGTATTCCAAATAATGGTTAATCCATAAGAAAACCGCTTCGGACTCATTAAAGAGTACTAATTTTATTTTTATAGCTTTATGTCGATACCACATCTGGTGGGCTACTAGTCTCCGATGATATCATCAGCTCAGAAGTCAGTGCTTCAGTACTGCCATGATTTATGACAAAAAAATTCATAAATTGTCCGTTTTGAAATTGAGAAATTGTTAAGACACAAGAGTTCTAACTCATTTAGGCAAATAGAATGGAGAATGCAAACAGGGAATATGTCAAGAGACAACTACCTGACCAAAGAGCAGAAAGCAGCCCAAGGTCACAAATGGACCTTCAATGCAGCGAGAAAATCCCGAACACGGAGGCGGACATTAGTTGGCCCGTAAACAATAATGTATACTTGTTCAGCGAAATGGATGTCACACTAAAATTCCGAAACATACAATGCGACGAGTTTAGTATGGCGTCCATTTCGTTGAGCTAGTAAACCTGCGTCCTTCGAATAATTCAACAATAACTTTGCAGAAAAAATGAACTTAACAATAATATATAATGTCAACACTCAAGTGTTGACTACAAGGCTGGAGAATCTTAAATGTTTAATCTTGGTAACGCAGACATACGAAAATACGTTCACGTAGAAGAACAATAAACAAGTAAAACAGTATAATGATTTTCTTTCAAAAGCCTAAAATCGCAATAAACAATTTACAGGAGTTGATCTACATTTAATATACCCAGGTTGCTGATTTACCAAATGTGAAGTGTCTGTCCTCGGGGACCCCTTAATAAAGCGGGTCTTTCGATTAATAAGACTGGACGATTACTGAATCAAAGTTTTTGCAGTTTACATTTTCTTTGGTTAGACAGAAATGTCTTTTAGGTTTTGGATAATATTAAAGTTAAGACATAGAAAATAACAAGATATTTGGCCAGCAAATCTTAAGGAATGTGAAATGAAAGGAATATTTGTTAGCAAACGAAAATACAGTCGATTGCAGACAAGCATGACAGGAACTAAACGCACATTAGCGCCGCGCGCACATATTTTGTTCGTTTACTTCAATTACCCCGTTTTCAAGTGAACGCGCGTTTGCTATAATTACGATGAAGAGGTTAAAACGACGTTTTCTTTATATCCGTTTATTCGGTGGTTAACGGCCGTTGACTACAAATTTTGCTTGTTTACCTGTTGCGTGCACAAAAAAAAAAAGTAAATGACAGGAATGCTTTGCGAGTACATCTTACATGGGTAATTCAGGTATCGCTTTCAATATCTGTTTTCAGAAATTATTCGAAAATAAAACACTGCAAATCTGTTTTTAAAAATAAGTTTTATATGTGAAAAAACATTTATTACGGAAGATTTTCAAGACTTAATCTGAAACAGACGACGAATAATAGTTTCTGAAACATTTGTCCACAGACAGTACATTTTTTCTAAATCCTTACAGTAAAACAAGTTATATTTGAAAATGTAACTCGCGTTTACATTTTTATTTTCTAAAAGTTTGCGATTACGCTGAATAAACCTGGCATTTGCATGAAGTGCATATTTGTAAATACTGAGTTAACTTTTTCCGGTATCGTACTTGTTTAGCTTCGTCTGAACCCAAATGTACTGGTTCAGTGAAATTTGTTGTAATCTCACGAGAACGAAGGTGCAAGTTAAAGCTTGTCATCCGAAATAAACCGTAGTCATAGCTTATATGGCTCCATACTGTACAGTACTTGCAACCTTAGTCTTTACTTTTTTACCGTTCAATCAGCAGTCATAAATATGTCAAATATGAGTCATGTTCGCTTCAAGTTCACGTCATTTATCCGTCAAAAATGTTAGAAGAATTTGTTTGACTGATTAGACGAACTGATAAGACATGTTGCCCGTTATTAAATCATGGTGACGGAATCGTTGTTCCGTTTCACTTAATTGAAATATCGACACGAAAAAGTACAAAATGTTTGAGATCCGAGAATTTGTTTTATGTAGCAAATTTTTATTTTCAAAACTGTATGTTAGTTAGAATAGAAGTATAATATGGAGACAAAACTAACATTTAATACAATTTAAGGATACTGTTTTATCAATTACATTTGATGAAAACAAACTCTTCTTGAAGCACTAATAAACATATTTGTTTCAAATTGCCCTATGGCCAAAACGAACTTATATGAAATTAAACAAAAGTGTTATTATCTTTATTCCTATGTCATTCATATTTATAAAAAAAATTTACTAAAGAGGTACTAAAATGACAGATTGAAAATACCGGTGCATGATTTAAACATGTTAAAATAAACAATTTTTCAGAACAAATGTTCATTGTTTTCTCTTATTAGTATAACATATATAATGCAATATAGAAATTCACTTTAATACACGAATATTAGTAAAAAAAACCCAAGTGAAATGCATGTTTCTTTATCTATTTATATGAAATAAACAATAGTTAGATTTCATGACACTAGATTGGAAACTTGTCGCTGCTTTACGCTAAATAAGTCTTCCTGTGGCTTCTTTTTGGTTATTAGTGAGACCCAAAACAGAAAATATGGACATTTAAAATCCAAATGTATTTAATAAAGTTAGATGAACACGTTTTTATGTTTATAGTTAAAGTTGTATACGTTAGTCTATGAAAAGGTATGTATAATGAAATTTAGAGCGTTGGGTTTGCCCCGAGCACCTAATTTTATAGTACATATAATCATAAAAAAGTATAATCTGACCAATTTAGAAAATATTAATATATTCGAGTGACAATACACTGAATCGCGTCCTATTATTCATTTGCAATTACCTCCTCTGTGGTCTCGTTGTAGTGTTCTCGCCTTGAGTGTGGGAGGTAATAGGTTTGATCCCCGGCCGAGTCAAACCAAAGACTTTAAAATAGGTATTTTGTGCTTCTTCGCTAACCGCATGGCACTAAGAGTAAGAGCAAAGACCTGTCAGCCGAGAGTTAGGTGGGGTGACACTTCTTCCTGTGGACTGTTACCCTGTGAACTAGCACGTTAAAAAACAGCTCAGCGTGTCGACCTAGTACAAAGCAAGGTCCATATTCATATTATATCAATGTGTTCTCGTCCTGAATATACACTTAATTAGCACTGAAGTTAAACAACCATACATCTATTAATCCATCCATCATTTGCTCTTATTAATCAAACCTTAATACCAGCTACCTAACACATGTATATATGTTTATAACAGATATGGAAATCATCTTTGATGTTTATTTAGACAGATGCTAGAACAAAGAACTTATTTTATGGATTTGTTGTACCTGCTTTAAGTCACATTGAACACTTATATGATTTTTTAATTTCTTTTCTATAACTACACATACAATATAATCAGCTTTAAAAAATACGATTGTTTTTGGATTGCTTATAATAAGTAACCTTTATTTCAATATATATTAAAATGATTTTGTTTGGTTGTTATTTGGATAAAACAACGAGTCGTTTGAATGTGACAAGGCTATTTTCATTTTATTAATTCATGTATGAGTAATCATGTTTATTTCTAAACTTTCCTTTAATTATAAAAACAAAGTTAAGGTAGATTTACAGTATACCGCCATCTTGGATTGTACAATAGCAGTACACAATCGGTCTAGCTCTTTGCCTTAATCTGCAAATTAGGGACAGATTTGCAATTTAAGTGTAAGACTGTAATTGTATAAAGACAAATAAGTGATTTATGCATTATCCAAAATGTTTAAACAAATACCAAATATTTGTGTTTTTAAAATCAATTTTTAAACTTAGCCATTTAAGGGGAGATAACTCTTATAGTAAAAATTGTATACTGGAATGATAGTGAAATTTTCTTTATTAACTTGTAGCAAGAAAACAAGTTCGGTGACACCATTTTACTTTTTGTTTTCTAAAGCATATTATAAAACCTTTCTTTTCATTATTTATTTCAAATTCGATCTCACAGATTTTTTTTTATTCACAAAAGTGTGTTTTTTCATGAACAATCTATGCAAATTTGGGCAATTTAGCACGACTTGTAGCTTGAAAAATAGCACGGTGACCCATTCTTCTTATCGTATGTTTGAAAAAGCATAGTAAAATCTTTAGTTTAGCAAAGTGTAAGAAAATTCGAACTGACAAAATATATACCGATGATTCACCTTAATGAAAAATGAAAACAAACCTTTGCATATGGTTCCTGCAACCTTCCTCATAACACTAGATTTGAATGCGTCTTTTGTTTCGTCCTGTAAAATTCATTTTCCATTACATTAAAGTTTCATATCTCGTTATGTATGCAGAATTTATCTATATTTCTAAACGCTCCACATTAAGATATATCAAAAAAATAAGATGTACCTCTTATACCATAATTTATTTAACTTTATAAGATTTATAAGCATTGTTGGCCCACAGTAAAGAGTTATCCGTTATCCGTAAAAAAAAACGGTTGTTCACTAATGTATACACATATCTAAATTAAACAGTTTATACATAATGAAACTTCTTAAACATGGGAAGACTTACATTTTCCTGGCCCAATAATAAAATTTCATCCATGTTTTTTCTTATATACTTGGTGTCCTTGTTTTCCACTTTGATATGCTCAACTATTGGTTGTCTATCTATTTCTTTCTTGGTAACATTAACCCTATTGTCGTTTCCTATAATGAGGGCATTTGCTGATGGATTGTGTATCTCAACTTTTATGTTGTACTGGTTGACAGTTTGAACCAATTTGGTACCGACTTCGGTCTAAAAATTTCAATAGATATAAGAAGATGTGGTATGAGTGCCAATGAGACAACTCTTCATCCAAGTCACAATTTGTAAAAGTAAACCATTATAGGTCAAAGTACGGTCTTCAACACGGAGCCTTGGCTCACACCGAACCGCAAGCTATAAAGGGCCCCATAAATGACTAGTGTAAAACCATTCAAACGGGAAAACCAACGCATATTTCAGTCAATCATACATATTCCTTTTAACTAGCTAGTTTATCAAAACTAAACTATCTAAAAGCCTTCTATAATAAAGCTCATGCTTGTGATTACACTTTGAATTAAAAATTTGCCTTCTCGTCATCTTTTTGAAAACTTTCATTGTTAAAAGAGAAGGCGTATTTCTGTGTCTTATCAAGTAATGTACATGCATGATATCGTTATTGGTAGCAGCACTAATATATGTGATGGAATGTCCTTGTTTGAATCTTAGTCAAGTTTAATTTTGCGTCATTTAAAAAAAAGTTCAACATACATTTATTCATACGAATTATTGGGGCTTATAATTACGTTCTTTCCGAATTATTGCCTCCAATGTCTCTTGGAATAATGCTAGCTTCGAGTGAGAGGGGCTATTTATTCAAACCCGGGTCGGGTCAAACGAATGAATTAGCACGCTGAGCATGCAGGTTTCAAGACTAAGATCACCAACTGGTCTGCTCTGAGTCAGATTAATGTGTCCGGGAAGGGTGAAATGTCTGTACACTGTTACTTTGTAAACAAGTCCGTTTACAATCCGGATCTACATGTCGGTCTAGAAAAAGGCATGGATAATATTAATATCGCATTAGCACATTCTCGTCCTAAATGTTAATTTAATGTGAGGTCACATTACCGGGTAGTACTATTCAGTATCTTTTCAGACGAATCAGATTATTAATGTCTGTTGTTGTTTTAAACTGATAAAAGAAAGCTTTGAACATTCTGAAAATAGACTAAACAGATCTTGTTTGATTGCAAGCGATGCATCTGAACAGTACTGAATTTACCGTAATAAATTATTTTAAACATTTACCGAACTACTCTTTATGGCTAACTCAATTATTGATCAGTCATATAAGATCTGTCCAGATAAAAATGTCTGTTTCAGTTTAAAGTTCATATACCAGCGGAAGTATTAAAATTAAGTATTTAAAAACTACCTCCCCTACATCTTTCCAGAATTTTGATTTTTGGATTGCTTTTCATTGTTAAAATGCCCACCATACATCTAACAAGAAACATTATGGTTGTTTAATTAAGATTTATATTTTCATTGATGATTTTTGTAGCGAGGGATATGCCCAAAACTGAAAAATAAGCTTTAAAATAGTGCAGTTTTGCAAAATTATATTTTAACTTACTATTTGTGTGTTCTTGTCATCAAAGGTAACAAGTTCTGGGTTTTGTGAGTCAGGGATCTCAACATTAGAAACTGCTCCTTTATTTTGGCTATCGACTTGCTTAGTTTTGGTCTTCTTTGTGTTCGGAGCTTTATTTCCATTGTCTGTTTTTGTTCCTTTTAAACTATGGTCTAGGCTTGAGGTTTTGCTATCAATGTCTAGTAATGTTGTATCAATATGATCGTTTGAAACAGAGTTGAATTTCATACAAGATATAAAACCATGTACACAGTTTCCCATAATTATACGTTTTCTTTTTATAGCTGCAATAATAATACAAAGTAAGTTATAATAATCATTTGTAAAATTGACAGAGTGATAATATCACATAAACCCAAGAATTTTATTTTTTTATTAAATAAAACAAAGTTTAATTTTGGACTGTTTGGACTTTAATGTAGACCAATTTGAAAACAGGTCCCAAAATATAAAATCTAAATACCCGATAAGATTCAGTTTTCCAAAAAACCCTGCGAATTCAAGTTTTGTTAAAAATCAAATAAAGTTTAAATTTGGACCCTTTGGACCTTAATGTGGACCACTTTGAAAACAGGCCCCAAATTTCAAAATCTAAATACACGGTTTGATTTGGCATATCAAAGAACACCAATAATTAAATTTTGATGAAATCAAACAAAGTTTAGCTCTTGACCTTAATATGGGCCAAATTCAAAAACAGGGCCCAAAACCCAAACTCTAGATATACTGTTAGATTCAGCATATTAAGAAACCCCAAGAATTCAAGACTTTGATTTAAACCCCATTGAAATTGGTCAAGAAATAATCAATTTATACAATGTATTACAAAAGAATTATTTTTGATCTTTTTTTTCCTAAACCATCACCCCACAATCAATCCCAACCTTCCTTTTACGGTAAGGAATGTTTTGGTACAATTTCATACCGACCCATAGACTTATACTGAAGTTATTGTCCAGAAACCAGAAAATCCTAGTTTTGTTGCCCCTTTTCGGCCATAATTGCGAAACGGTTTGGGTCAGGACCCCTAAAGTCAATCCCAACTTTCCTTTTGAGGTATACAACCTTGTGGTAAAATTTCGTAGAGATCCATACTCTTATACACAAGTTATTGTCCTGAAACATGAGAAATGCTTGTTTTGGCCTCTTTTTGGCCCTTAATTCCTATACAGCTAGCACAATAAACCACCCCCCCCCCCCCCAAAAAAAAAAAAAAAAAAACAAATTCAAAACCTTCCTATTGTGGTATTGAACCTTGTGCTAAAATTTAATAGAGATCCATAAACTTATACATAAGTTATTGTCTGTAAATAAGAAACATATTGTTTTGTTGGCCTCTTTTTGGCCCCTATGTACTTAACAGCTACGACAATAACCTCCAAAATAAATCCTAACTTTCCTATTGTGGTATGAAACATTGCGCTAAAATTTGATAGAGATCCATATACTTATACTCAGTTGTTGTCTACAAACCAGAAATATGATTGTTTTTGGCCCCTTTTTGCAAAACAGCTACGACAACAACCCCCAAAATCAATTTGAATACCAAAAAACTAAAACATCTAAATACACAATTAGATACAGCATATGAAAGAACACCAATAATCTAATTTTTGAAGAAATCAAACAAAGTTTAATTTTGGATCCTTTCGACATTGATATAGATCAATTGAAAAACAGGACCCAAAATCCAAATTCTAAATACCGAATTAGATTCTGCATTTAAAAGAACCCCAAGAATTCAAGACTTTTAATTAAACCCCATTGCAATTGCTAAAGAAATAAGCAATTTATACAAAGTATTACAAAAGTATTGTTTTTGGCCCTTTTTAACTAAACCGTCAGGGACATAACCCTTAAAATCAATCCCAAACTTTATCTAACGGTAGAAAACTTTGTGGCACAATTTCATAGCAATCCATAGACTTATACTCAAGTTTTTTTCCAGAAACCACAAAATCCTAGTTGTTTGCCCCTTTTCGGCCCTAATTGTTAAACGGTTTAGGCCATGAATCCCAAAATCGATCCCAACATTTATCTTAAATTATGAAACCTTGTGGTAAAATTAAAGAGAGATTCATAATCTTATACACAAATTATTTTCTTGAAATATGGAAAATGCTTGTTTTTGTTCCTTTTGTGGCCACTAATTCCTCAACAGCTACGACAATAACCCCCATAATAAATCCCAACCTTTCTATTATGGTATAGAACCTTGTGATACAATTTAATAGAGATCCATGCACTTATACTCAAGTTATTGCCTGTGAACCAGAAAAAATAATTGTTTTTGTTAGCCCTTTTTGCCCCTTATTCCTAAGCAGCTACTTAAATACCCCCAATATAAACCCCATCAATCCTATTGTGGTATGTAACCTTGTGCTAAATCTAATAGAGATCCTTACACTAATACTCTCGTTATTGTCTGCAAACCGGAAAATTTGTGGTTTTTGCCCCTTTTCGAACCCATAATAATCAAACTGTTTGGGCCAAAAGTCAATCCCAAATTTCATTTTGAAATATGGAACCTTGTAGTAAAATGTCATAGAAATCTATACTCTTATGCACAAATTATTGTCATGAAACATGAAAAATGCTTGTTTTTGGCCCTTTTGGACCCTTAATTACAAAACAGCTATGACAATAACCCCCTGATTCAACCTCTACGTTTCTATTGTCGAATGGAACCTTGTGTTGAAATTTAATAGAGATCCATCTACTTAAACTCAAGTTATAGGCTGTGAACCAGACAAAATAATTGTTTTCTTAGATCCTTTTTGACCCCTAATTCCTAAACAGCTATGACAATAACCCCAAAAATCAATCCCAACCCTCATATTTTGGTATAAAACCTAATAATAAAATTTCATACAGATCCATACACTTATATTCAAGTAATTGTCTGCGAACCAATTTATTGTCTATGAACCACTGATACTCAAGTGATTGGCTGTGAACAAGACAAATAAATGTTTTATTAGGTGTTTTTTTGCCCCTAATTTCTTAACAACTACGATATTAACCTCCAAAATTAAACACAACCTTCCTATTGTGGTGTGGAACCTTGTGCTAAAATGCAATAGAGATATATAAACTAATACTCAAGTTATTGTCTAAAAACCAGAAAAATAATTGTATTTTGCCACTTTCTGGTCCTTAATTACAAAACAGGTAAGACAATAAACCCCAAAATCAATCCCAACCCTCCTATTGTGGTATCAAACCTTGTGCTAAAATTTCATACAGATCCATACACTTATACTAAAGTTATTGTCTGAGAAACCAGTTATTTTTTTTATGAACCAGTAAACCTGACCTGTTTTGGCCCCTGATTATAAAACCGCTAAGACAACAACCCCAAAAGTCAATCCTAACCATCCTTTAGTGGTATGGAACTTGTGCTAAATATCATAGAGATCCATACACTTATACTTAAGTTATTGTCTGCGAACCAAAATGTCTTCAGACTTCGCCATAACATAAAAGGGACGCAAAAAAATGTGCGGTCGCATAAAAATTGATAGTAACGATAACGTTATGATATACAAGTATTGCCTTCATCATAATTTGATATGATAATATAACAGATAAGAAAATCATGAGAAAATTATTTTCGCAAAGGTCAGCAAAACTTGTATTATTATACTTATTTTACCATGAGGTAATAATACTTTTTTGGACGGGGATATTTCTTCGGCCCAATTTTACGATGTTTATATATCCCAACCTCGTTGCAATGCCCGTGTCTGTAGTGACGTTTTTGGATTTCAATGAACGTTATTTCTGAGTACTAGTAAATTATAAAGTCAAGGATTCGCAACCACAAATTACTTTTTACTTTACTAGTAATTAATTTTTTTATAGATACAAAAAAAATGAAAACAACACGTTATTAATTTCATGCTTCCGAAGCGCTTTTCTGAATTTGCCTTCATCAGGAACGCTCAAAGACAAATATTTAAAAGCAAAGGATGTATAAGAACCAAAACAGTTGAAGAGCTATATAACCAAAAAGTACCCAAAACATAGCCAAATCCATCTAAGGTCAACTTTGCCTGAGGGAGTTGAAACCTTAGTTTCTTTATAATTTTGAAATTTATAAATGGACAATTTTAGAAAGGTTTGTTATTAATCATGTCAGTAACGAAGTACTGACTTCTAAGCTGATGATACCCTCGGGGACTGATATTCCACCAGCAGAGGTATCGACCCAGTGCTGTAAAAAATGAAAACAACATGTTATTAATTTCATGCGTCCGAAGCTCTTTTCTTGATTTACCTTATTCAGGAACGCTCAAAGCCGAATATTTAAAAGCCAAGGTAGTATAAGACCAAACCAGTTAAAGAGCTATATAACAAAAAAGTACATAAAACATAGCCAAATCCATGTAAGGTTAACTTTGCTTGAGGGAGTTGAAACCTTAGTTTCCCAAACATTGGTTTGGAAGTTTGGCTGAAAACTTATTACACACGGAGTAGCATGTCGTAATTTTTACGGTGATGTTATTTATTGAGTCAACTAATTCGGATACGATCCGGGTAATCTCAATAATTGTTTAAATAAACGTATTCTAAAAGATAAACACTGTAATCAATTCTTTGAATATATTTGTCATCTGTATAAATATTGATTTTGTTATAATTAATTTTAAACCCAACTCAATAACACTGCTAATACTGCTATACACCTATGAACTTTCACGGTTCAAATTTGGTTGAAACCTTTATTTTGGCATTACAAAAAATAAATTTATTCTATGACTGTCAATTATGTGTTTACACTAAATCGATTAGAAGTTGGATGTATATTGATTGAAATTTTAGTCTGCGATACATGATTTTATTAGTTTGAATTGATTTTTAGTAACTGCGAGTACTTTAGGATCTTTACATTGTGTTATTGTGCTTTTTATCGATCTGATGATGAGTTAAGCTCTTTTGAACTGATTTTTATAATTTGTTCTTATGCTGTGCAGTAACACCACTGTCCCTGTTTAGGGGAAAGTTGTGCGGCCACAAACCTGATTAACCCTGTCACACTCTGTATGTGCCTGTCTCAAGTCAGGAACCTGTAGTTCAGGGGTTGTTTGTTTCTGCATATCAAATCTGTTTATAGTTAATTATTAATTAAATCAGGCCGTTAATTTTCTTGTTAGAAATTGTTTTTCATTTGTCATTTCGGGGCCTTTAAAGCATGGTATGTGGTAAGAGTTTTGCTCATTGTTGAAGGACATACCGTGTCCTATAATAACGAACTTGTTATACAAAGTTTCCTAAAAGTAAGAAAATTTAAGAAAGTATAACAAAACTACCGTACTTCAAGGCAAACTCCTAAAGAGGAAAGATCATAAAAACTAACAAAATCAAATGATATCAATCAACGGAAAAATGAAAAGCAACTACCGTATTCCTGACTTGGAACAGGCAATTCCCGAACAAAATGATGGGTTAAATCTGGTTTTATAGCTAGCTAAACCTCCCACTTGTATGACAGATGTTTATAGTTCCGTTATATTGACAAAATTCGGTGAGCAACCCAAACAGTCATAATAGGTTAATGTGAAAATAATTGGGATCTAGCAGCCAAACACAGATATACAACACAACTGCCAATAAACTGAAACAAACATACACGTTAATCTAGCAAAGACGTTTTTGTCTTTGATAGTACATACCGTATATAGTATAGTAACATGTCAACCCAGACACGCATGAATTTAGTAATAATTTTATAAAGCCCCACTTTGACATTTAGACTAAACACACCAATAACGGTGCAATTCCTTTTTTTGCCGTATCAAATGTATGTAAAGTAAATTATATATTGGGTCTTTTTTGTACATCAATCCTTCAACGTTTTTATAAGGTTGATACCTGTGCTGGTCTACTGTTCCATAATCCATAGTCAGTACTTCGGTAATTAGATATATTAGATAGATTATTGAAATTTATGAAATGATTGTTTAATTCAGGAATGTATCCTCCTCGTGCATAGCTCTAAATCCTGTCCAGAACTAGCTTATTTTTTGTACTTTTAACGTTTTATCAGAGTTTTCAAGTTTGAACTGGGTCTTGAAATTTTAGCCTCGAGTAGAAAATACAATTTTTGCCTTTCAGTCGTGATGCTTAATAAAGAGAACGAAGTGATCTATCCAAAAAGATGTTCTAAAAAGTGTCTCTACTTACCGAGTTTGAGGTTAATATTCGAGTTCCATATCAGGCTGACCAAAGACTTTGTGTTTATTCCATCATTTTCTATCCTGAAGACGAAGAATACATGTATGCAATTGGGAATGATTGTTTTATGCATAAACAATTTTGTATTTTTCTCATTCATTTCCTCATGAATATTAGTATTCGGGACACAACGAAAATCAGATTATTTGTATTTTAAAAGAACAGATTGAATCAAAGTTTGAGTCGATGATGGTAAAGTTCTGCCTACAAAGTCATACCAAGATAAATTATATGAGATATAACGAGGTTGTCTTTATTTTAAAATGTCACATTTCTAAGGGCTTTTTTTGATTTACCTCCACCGGCAGCGCTCAGACCAAAACACTTCAAAGCCATGGATGTATAAAAACGTAAAAACGTGAGTAGCTTTAGGACCAAAACGTATCTAAAAGGAAAGCTTATTTCATCTTTGGTCAACCTTACCCAAGGGAGTTAGAACCTTAGTTTTTAAAAAAGATATTTCTGAACTTATGAACGGAGAATTCAAAAACATATGTTATTTATCATGTAAAAACATCTATAAATTTTGTTTATATTGTTTTGAGTTTAAAGTCATGTTTTCCTCTAATGATTGTATTTGTATATATATTTTCTATTGATCGTAATTGTATTTATCTTTACAAACCTGATGAAACCTAAACATTTCATTTTTGACAAGGTTGAGTTTTTATTTCAAGCCACATTGTTGAACAAAACCACGGCCTTTGTGCTGAGGTCAATACTTGATATGGTTTGTAATGTAGGCAAATTATTAGTCATGATAATAATTACTGCATATATATGTACATATATAACATGTATAATGAATTTAATAGCGATATAAAATCTCATATAAAAAAGAAAATAAACAAGGATCAAAATTTAAGTGTATTTACACATACAGCCTGTTTTCAAAGTAAAAAAAAACCAGAACTTTACCTTAATAAATTTTGGAAAGACTTTCTTTTATTCAGAATGAATATTACAATTGTTAACATGCTTTACAAAATAAATCTTAAATCTTTTCCAGAATTCTATAAACGGTTAATTTAATCATCGGTAGAAGTAACAGGAGATTAAACAATTATACAAAGAAATTTTCTTGAGTATGGAAAACAACTTATATGGGAAAATATCTTATTAAAGAAAATGGGAAATGACTGTTCCTTCAAACACTGATTGATAGTAATAGTGTTTACATTGATAACATAATAGATGAAAACGGATACATCTTATCAGAAACTGTACTAAAATATTTAAGAATAATAGATTAGACTGGGTTAGAGAATTTTCATTAGTTAAGAAAGTTATAACAAAGCACTAGCAAAATATTATAAAACAAGAAATTTCTTACAAAACTGTGGTCAATAAAAAAAATTCGGAAAAGTTAAAAACACTACTAAAATTCGAAATTTTACAAAATATGAGCAACAAAAAAGTATACTTTTACTTGCAAGGGCAATATATACACGACAAACCTACAGGAGTTTAATCTGGGAAATAATATTTAATAAAAAAATGGCTACAGAATTTTAGTCTCTAATTTTTTTAACTTTATTTTTAATCATCTTGAAAACAACAAATTTAAAATGTTTAGATGACAAATAATACATAATATACTAGCCTGTAATTAGTTACTTCATAAATAAAAAATAGAACTAAGTATTGTGTGCTTCCATTATAAGTAACTTGATAATGATTATAAACATTTCTTTTTTTTCCTGTTAATATAATCTAATTGTTGGCATTAAATTGACCAACTTTAGGCATTTCTAAAAATTGAAAAAATTTGATATGGATATACTTAGTCTTGAGTTTAGTAACAGGGTATATAACATTGAAGACGAAGTTAATTTTAATATAAACTTCTTATTAACCATAATATTCTTTTTCATCTATTAAGCATATCATATGTCTGACAAGAAAGAGAAGTTCAATTATATCTTTAAAATATCAAAAATGAAATCTTGGACATTATAAGTATTCATAAAATCAGAAACAAACAAACAAGCAAATTATACATAAAGCATGGGAATTTTTTGAATTCCTTTAGTGTTATTAAGTGTTAGTTCTAGCAAACGATATGTACATGTACTGTTGTACATTAGCCTTGACTGTACATTTATACACGACTGTACATTTGTTATTTCAGTTTCGTATGTATGTACTGATACCGCTCCTTTTACAATTTACAGGTACATTGAATAAGAATTGTATGTAATATGTTTATTCCTGTTCACTACGCGAACATATGATTAGCAGATGACCAAGTAAATTACACACCATGATGTACCGTTATTGCATACATATATTAAAGATCACTTGTATTTTCGATACTTAAACTTGACAGAGGAATAAAAAGGACTAATTTAAAAAGTAGTTTGTAGTATAAATAATGTGTAAATACAAAAAAAAATCTTACTCCATGAGTTTAGACTGTCTGTTACACTTTAGACGTGTAAGCTTAAAAAACGTTCAAAAATAGCCTTCGTCGACAAAAATCAAGATTTATGATACAAAAATATCATAATCAATTTCCACGTTCAGTGAAGCTTTAATAAAATTATATACAAGGGGACGAAATGTACTGTATGCCGGTAAACATTTGATTATGTAAAACTGTTTTAATATATAAATATATGTAAGTTTATAGAGTTATCTTACTGAATATTTCCCCTATATATTCAATAACTAATATAAAGGGATAATTAATTGAAGCTGTAAATTAAGTAAATTGTTAACAGTATAGGTGAAATAACATTGATTTATTTGTCTTAAAAAAGTTATTTATCATGTCAGTACCGAAAAACTGACTACTATACTCAGTGTGATGATACCTTCTATAACCAACAGTAAAGAAGCTGTGGTATCGACCCAGTACTAGAACACGTAATTTGTGCATACAAAGCGTCTTTCCGGAATTTATTTCATCAGGTACGCTCAAATCCAAATGGTCCAAAGCCAATGAATTAGAAATACCCAAAATACGGCATGATCTACATGACAAAAAAGTGACATAAAAAATAGACAAAATCGTTTTATGTAAAATTAAGCCTGAAGGAGTCTGAACCTTCGTTAATTTTTCCCCGTCAAATAAAATTCTTTTTAGAGGGAAGGGTATTTAAGAATATCATGTTCATCTGTCTATCCGTCTGTCCTTCTGTCTGTTTGTTGGTCTGTCTGTCTCTCAGTCTGTTCTTCTGTCTGTCCCGCTTCGTGTCGAGCGCATTACTTTTTCACCTTAAAACTTAGGTTAACCAAATTTAGTATGCAGTTACATAATGGGCTTGTAGTGTGGCACATACCACAGCAAGTGAATTTGACGTTTACTTAGACTTTTCTCTACTATGATTGTAAAACATTGTCCAATTCGTGTCCGGCTCATATATTTTGTACCGTAAAACTTAGGTTACCTAACTTCGTATGTTCTGCGCATAACTGTTGTATTGTAGAACGTAGGTTGACAAAACTTGAAATGCTGAAGCATCATGGGATTGGGATGTGTCATATATCAAAGTTAGTTCACTTTGACCTTGACTTTGTCAATTGACCCCTATGATAGTTGAACATTGTCTGACTTGTGTAAGGTGAAGAACTTTGTAATGTAGCACTCAGCTTGACCAACCTTTTATGCAAATATAAACGTCCTGTTTTTGCAGATGTGCATACATACAATATTCATAAGTTACAAATTTTGTTGTTGCAAAAACAAAACACTATGAAAAATAGACAAAAGCTAAACTCAATCAACGACCATCAAATCCAGTCGAAATTATTATCAATATTCCTATTTGTAACCTACGTGCAATATTCAGCTCGTAACTAAGTATTATATAACTATAGCAGTGTTTCAGAGGTCCAATTCTGTTTCTTTCATTCAGCAGCACATATTTAACTCTTTAAGAACGTATCCATAAAATAAATGTATGCACAAATATATTAATACAACTCCAACATAACAGACTTGTCTCCGTTTGCAACCACTCAAACGGAATACAGTGATGCGATATACAATTGGCGAATTGAATTGCTAGAAAGCATTCGGAACACTGTGGGGACAGCTAATGAACATATTATCTGCCATTAGGCTTAGTTTATCGTCGATGTCAGCTGTTTTAAATATAGTATCTTATTTCTAATAAAGCAAGCGTATATTAAATTTGTATAAATCAACAGGTCTTTTGGATTTGTAATGGACGTTTTGATGACTCTAGTAGAAAATATACATTTCAAAATAAAAATGGATGTAGTGTAAAATTCCACTAAAAAATCATAAAAAAAATAACAAAATTAAAATAACTGGAAAAATTGCAAAAAAAACAAACTCCGAAATTTTGCTATAATAAAAAAAAAAAAAAAATTTTTGGCCAAAATTCAAAAAAATTTAACCCCCCCTCCCCAAAAAATATTAAAGTTATGTTTTACAATGAACAGCAACATCGGTGTTGGAATGTGAAGTTGAGTTTCTTCATAAGAATTACACCCAGGTACGAAGATTGGTAAAGGAACGCTTCATAAGAAAATATCATCTATAAATTCAAACTTTATATTTCAAGCTATAAAATGGGTTACATGTTCCTCTTTCTGATGAAGTTCTACTAATTTACACAAAACCCCTCGTTTTATTACAGAGTACAATATTAAGATTGATCAATTCGCAGCAACGAAACAGAGCCAATAAAGAAGCAAACCTTTCAAAATAAATGTTTTATACAGTATTTAAAATGTAAATTAGAAAAAAATATAGCATAAATGCTTGTGGTCGTTGAACACATTAAGATGATCCCTTCTCAAAAAGGTTACCTGTCGTTATAATCTTAGGTGTAAGGGGCGGTATCGAATAGATTTCGGAAATTTCTATTTAGCACTCTTATTTCAATAGCTTGTAAGCAGCAGCCGTCTTTAAAGGATATATGGATTGAAAACTGAGGCGTTGGGATATAGTACATTTTTGTAACTAACATGAATATGTTTACTCCATTTGCAGGCACGTTGCACATATAAATGAAAAGGGTCATACTTTAACAATTAAAATCATATATTTTGGGGACTCTTTAAATAGAATGGTGGGAATATAAACGTTATATTCAAAATTCAGAGCGTTCTTCTAAAATGACAGTCACGAAAAACGCTGAATATCAACAGTAAAAAAAAATCAAAATGAATAAAAAAATATACAAATATCAGTCTTTAATCCATAGCTAATTAATCAATGAGTAAGTGAGCTTAATTGATTAGTATTTTTGGTTAATAAAAATGAATGATCTTGTCTATGAGTTAAAATTTAGTTTCGATACCTTTTAGTACACAAAATTAGTTTCCCCCTTGTCTTTTTTTAACTATCGACCAAATCTTCTATACAACTTAGTTATAATTGATTCTATTGCTACAAGGGCGAAACACGACTATCATGGATTTGGTCCGTTCATTTACTTTAATCTATGTAAAATTATATTAAAGAGAAGAAGTATATGTTGGTATAAAGAATACTAGTCATACTAGGAGAAACGGTTTGGGGTCAGTTGCAAAAGTTTTTTTCCATACAGTTGACATAGTGTATTCAAGAATAAAAAAAACAATTGACAGCAAATGAACTAATCAATCAAAATTTATGTATATCACAACAAAAACTCAATAAGTTATATCAGAAAGATAAAAAATCAAAGTGGTTTATTTCTAAACATTGCTATAAACGACTTTTAGTTTTCAATACTGTACATGTATTTTAAATGATTGGTTTCGACAAAAATTAGTCATCGAATTCCTTTGATGACTAAACCATTAAAACGCTTAGAAAAAAAGTAAAACAGTTTTGAACTGTTAAAGTGCCTAACAAGTTTTTATGAGGTAGTCGAATGCAAACTTAAAACGATTGAATTGTATTATCATTTACAATATTAATCAGATCGTTAATATTTTGACTTCATTTACCTAATGCTTCCATTTTGGATTAAATTTGATTCATATTAGCACCAAAACAGACTGAAAATGGCATTGATCTGTTTAGTAATTCAACGTTTCATTTTGTGTAGACGTGCATAAATTATAAATCAGTGTTTCTATAAGACGTTATGATCTTTTTATTATAATTCCAGTTTGAATACTTAAATTGAGACCGAAGTCACACGCACCTGCAACGAGCGGGGTTCGAACTAAGAACCTCAGTGTTGACAGGCTGGTACGCACTATAGATGAACTATTTGGTCCAAACAGACATCAAGCCCCTGTTAATATAAATGCGAATTACAGCTAGAAACACAATGAAATTGAGGATACACAATGGCACATGTAAAAACATTAACAAAATATCAAAAGAAATATACGAGATTTAAAAAGGAGACAAATAGACATACATTTGTCAAAAGTTGTTGTCGGAAATAGCACACAAACACCAGTACACATGAATGTATCTTATTTAATTTCCTTATAGCGGTATATATTTACCATGTTTACGGATCTGGATCACGTCACTAACCTTAACTTGTCGTAATAGTATGATACAATAGTATTATTTCTATTGAAAAAATCAAAACAAAAATATTTAAAGGAAGTACTTTTTGTCACGTAAACAATGATGAAACAAAGATGACTGTCAAATGAATTACTCTTCCACAGACATTGATCGTCATATAATATATTCATACTTTGATTCAATCTTCTTAATTTCTGTTTTTCAAATACACGTTACATGTATATTTATTAAAAAGTCTAAACAACGGTATTTCAACCGAATAAAACATTTAGGTGGATCCAAAATACCTAAATGACTAAAATGTATTGATGTATTTTTTGGTTACAGCTATGACTATATAAATATTTATCGGTAAGCTAAACAATAAAACGATGTGTACGCATCTCATGGGTTATTCTTCATCGACAAATAAGTGTAAACTCTACGGCAGAATATAATGTCACTTATTTAAGAAGTTTGTTTTTTCCTGTTTATATTTTCGTCATATTGATTTTGTTACACTTCCATTTTGGTTTAAACTGGAATAATAAAAGCACAAAACAGGTTGAAAATGGTGTTATCTGTTTAGATGATATTCAAACGTTTCATCTTGAGTAGACTAGCGTAAATTATAATTCGGTGTTTCTTAACAATATTTAATTTGTTATTGAAACCGAAGTCATACGAACCTGCAACTATAGGGTTCCAACTAAACTCCTCATTGTTGACAGTCTGTTCAGCACTATAGATGAACTATTTAGTCCAAAACAGCCACCGAACCCATTGTGAAGATAAATGCTTATCCATGTACAACCAGAAACAAACTTCAGTTTAGGATGCACAATTGGACAGGTACAAACATGAAAGATATATCAACAGAAATATACAGGACTAAAAAAGAAAAAAAAACAAATAGACAAAGTTCACATTAGTGTATCTAATAATATGTCCTGTATGTATGTGTGTATATGTTTATATATATCCGATTAACATAATATTTCAAACAACAAGGAAATTAAAGTAATTTTAACAAGTTCAAGTGTAGGCAGGAATTACAAGGCTATTTACGTCATACACATGATACAGTTTGAATTCTTGTAAAACAATCTACATTCAAATATGATATCTGAACAAATATAATGTAACATGTGTAATATTGGTTTCACGGAAGTGTTTATGTTCTCTATTGTTTTTCATATTTCATATAAAATATATCTTTCTCTCTCAAAATATTTGAAAAGATCCTATGCATGCCAATTCAATTCAGACCATTTTTTTTAAACGCGTTTCATATAGCTTAGAATTAATTCCTTCATATGAAATAAGGACAGGGGTATAATTGCAAATACGGCTTTCAACAAAGAACAAACCCCATAGCTTACAATAAGCTATAAAAGACCCCAATTTGAAAAAAAAATGTAAATCAATTCAAGTACTAAGTTTTGTTAAAAAAAATAAACAACAAAAAGAAAAATAACCCAGTGTTAAAGACTTCTTCAAGTCCCAATAACAATGTGGCAGCAATTAAAAATGTAATCAAAGAATAAATGTTCGTGTTAACTAGATATTCAAAATTTATATGAAATTAAACTTATAAATCATATACTTATACACACAGGGAATCAACATCATTTACATATGATATGGTATATTTTGTAAAAACTTCGTAACTGATGTCTGATAGAAGAATTAAAGCATTGCTGTTATGACTAGGAAATAGTCCATGCAAAGGTAATAATGATTATGACATTTTATCAAAATGCAAGATAATAATGATAAATTTCAACAAAATTCTGAAAGCCACGTTCCTTTGTTAAAGCCCTAAACGTTTCATATCCTTAAATATGCTGCCTTATGAATAGTTTTTCCTAACACCTCAAGATCAAAACAATACAGCATCCATAGGTAAACGTTTGATATGGTGGTAAAAATAAATCTTGCCTTGTTATCCAGAGGTATGCGGGATTTGACATGTGTCGTTTCATTATTTCCTGTCAACTGTTAACCTAAAGTACGATATACATGTAAAGTTTAAGATAATTTATAAGAAGAAAAATGTAATAAAAAGTAAAATAATTAATGTTCTATAAACTGACACTTTTTTCTGTTTCCTGTTATAAAACTTATAACATATGCACAATTCAGAAATATTTCTAATCTTTTCTAAATGGCAATATGCACGTTTTGGGTGTATGTAGTATTTTGTTGTGATCTACATGAGACAAAATCATGAATCGTCAATTACTATATACTTAATTGTAATAATGGCATGTACAAGAAAAAATAGCCGGAATATTTCAAGAGCTCAAAAGCTCAGAATCAACGTAATTAACGAAACTATCTGTAGTTTCTAAAAATCGAGTTATGTTAGCATTAAACATGTGAACAGTACCAACTTCACCAGTTGAGCATTTCGACAATTAATGTCTTTAAGGTGGTACCCAAGGCAAAAATTAATCAATCATCTTTGAATAGAAATCATTTCAATAGCTAGATGCAACTAAATCGAAACTGAGTATGGTGCCCAAAATTCGATGATATGATCTATGTTATTGGTTCTTAAAGGAAAACATAAAGATAATAAATTATTATTTTAATTCAAGTCAATGACTTTCAAATGTTTTCAATTGAGCGTTCTTGGTGAATTTTAATACATAAAAACGTTTCGGACTTGTGCCTCGATCCATTCCCTGCGTTTTTAAAACTTGATTTGTTTCTTCTTAAGGAGGCAAATGTACCCAAAACTTTGACTAAAATAGATTTGGCTGGTTCAATTTTCTTAAAATTTTGACAAAATATGAACTCTGACCTGTTGACAATATGAAAATGTCAAGACATTTGAACGAAATAATGTACAGGAATATTTCCATTGGATGTTTATCAGTTAGACTAACACTAGTTTTGATCATTGAGAAGCTTCACAATTAATATGTAATTAAAACGTATAGCTGATTTTTAAAGAGTTAACTCTCTAATGTGTTCTGTACTCTATAAATGGATGTATGAGTTTTAAACATTTGTAAACTGCTATTCCCTCCTATTTACCATTTGCATAAGGCCATTTAAAGCATTACCATAATACGATAATTGTGGAATACCCATCCTCCCTTTGTTATAATCGTTTAGGATGGTCGCTACTCTTGTTTTTTCAATTTTTGTCAGATATTTGGAATCCTCTAGATTTATCGATTTAGTGCCAATGACAATTTTGCCCGCTAACCCCTACTTTTCATTTCTTAATTTTATTACGTATAGTTTAGAAAGCCATTTTTGAAAATCTTATAAAGAAAAACGGTTTCAATGTTAAATGCATGAAAAATCTAGAGAGAACCATTTCCCGCCAAATTTTCAATTGATAATATCTCAAAAACAAAGACACAGACCTTCATTTATTCTACTTGTTTGGTTCATTTATTTATATACTATCAATGTATCAAGTCTTTTAAAATACAGAGAGGCGATCATCCTTAAAGTTTTCATGTACTTACATTTGGTGTCAAATACATAGTATTACATAAAACTTTCAAATCACGATAAAACTGAAATGATAGGTACATGTTCTATATACAAGTTGTAGTCAGAAAGAAAGTACGAATCCTGCACAGTCAAACAGCAGTTTGATTTATGAGCATTGTATCTTTAAACTGTTATTTATCAATGCAGGATTTTGGAAAACCCTTTGTTTGTCTTCAAGGTGTACCGGTCATAGGAAGATATAGTGTATATTGTATCAATTGTATTATATCATGTATATAGAGGGACAAATAGGATTTTACATTAACAAATTAGGCATTATTTCTAACGGGATGAAAACATGCAATGATTGGGTAAGTATGTAATGGTTTAACACGTCATACGCTTCAATCACACCTAGTATGAACTGTCAAAGCAAGAAAATGGTAAACAAGGTACGATAGACCATAGTGGACATACAAGACATAATAATTAATCTAAATAAGATTATGAAATGAATGGCAATAGATGTCCATATCAGACAAATATTTGCTAATTTATACGTTATTTGGTCTATGGTAGAGAGTCGTCATTTGCAATCACATCTTCTTTTTTTTTAATTAACATTGTATGATGTAGTTTTTTAATTGGTTTAAATTATAATATAGTACCCATTAATGCACTGCCCAAATTACCATAAATCATGCATTCTGGCAAAAATATCTAAATATAGTTTATAAGAATCTTAAACCCCTTCAACAATTTAAATGTAAAAATTCTAAAAAAAAACGTTATAATGTGTTACTCTACTATAGTGTACAGGCAATGAAAGATCATAATTTTTACAATGAGAAAAGCTGAACATGTTTGTACCAGGTTACATGTAAATCAACTTGAAAATGTTTTGATATATAGGATTTTTCAATATACTATGTCGACATTTTAGCACGGTGCAATAGATACCGATGAAGAGTATTTTTGGCATTAACTCATCAATGGCAAGAAACTTTGTTTAAACCCGGATGTATCACTGTCATGTAGCCTGTATGCATGTGCTGTCAAAAATCGATGGGTCATTTGCTGTAAATAAGCTGTTTATAAGCCTTTTAAATCATGTGAAATTCTACGGTATTTCTACCCCAGACATAGATGGCTTGAAAATGAGCCCAAGCTGTACAGCTTTGTAGACTTTTTCCTTTCAATGCTTTTCAACTTATTATGAATGTGATGTTTTTAGTTCCTCCTTGAATGTCCAACCTCAGTTTTCCACTAAACGAGATTAAAACGAGAGAAGGTTACAATTTCTTAATATAATCTAACTTCACGAATTAATATGCCTACCCGATTGCAATATCAGGCACCTCTTTAACTGTTGTCATTAGTGTTACCGTCTTACAGAAGAAGGAACGTAGTATTAAATAGCATTGTGAATATCTCTATCGTTTCCTTCCTATTGTATAACTTGATTCAGAAACGAATGATGGGCGTAAAATGCGTCGCAATATAAATGGCCCAAAGAGATTATAATTTCATTTATGATTAGCTCATCATTTGAATAATGATATTTTATTTTTGTTGTAATTAACGATTCTATTAGGAACTAAGAACGTTTTGCTTTATTCTTTTTAGTTTGCACGTAGTCAGCAGTATAGTTGTATGGAAAAGTTTAAAGATGCGTTGTGAAAAGTAAAATAACAAAAAAACCGAACTTCAAGGAAAATTCAAATAGGAAAGTCCCTTATCAAATGACAAAATCAAAAGCTTAAACACATCAAACGAATAGAAAACAACTGTCATATTCCTGACTTGGTACAGGCATTTCCTTATGTAGAAAATGGTGGATTAAACCTGGTTTTATAGCTAGCTAAACCTATCACTTGTATGACAGTCGCATAAAACTCTATTATATTGCCAACAATGTGTGAACAAACAAACAGACATAATATGTAAAAAATAAAAAATAAACAGGGATACAGAAGTCAACATTTACATTGTATCATAGGTAAAATTCATTTGTTCAGTGTATTTTCACTGGTGTTAATATGTCCTTTGATTGAGTTAAGCCATTTCAGTTGATATTTAAAAGTGTGTCTTTCTATGTTGTGATGTTGCACTATTGTTTCAGAAAAAGATGAAGGTTTGGTACCATTGAAACGTTCAAATGCTGCAATTGTTTGCACCTGACCTAAGTAGTTGTCGTTTGTTGATGTGGTTCATAAGTGTTTGTCGTTTCTCTTTTTTTTATATAGATTAAACCGTTGGTTTTCCCGTTTGAATGGTTTTACACAGTCTAGTAATTTTTGGGGCCCTTTATAACTTGCTGTTCGGTGTGAGCCAAGGCTCCGTGTTGAAGATCGTACTTTGACCTATAATGGTTTACTTTTATGAATTTTGACTTGGATGGAGAGTTGTCTCATTGGCCCTCATACCACATCTCCTTATA